GCATTGGTAATTACATCAAGTAAATTATAACAGAAGGAAATTTTTCTTTAGAAGCGGAACAATCGTAAGTTTACTTTATATATGCTTTACTTATATGGCTTTTCTCCAACTTTTGTTAGAACAAAAGTTAGATGCATTCATGAAGCGTCATTCTTCAGAACTTTCAGCCAGAGGGCCACAAAACCTTTCTCAGAGAAGAACAGATGTCACAGAAGACAAACTACGCGCTTGGTTTCAAGAAGTTGAATTACATTTGAAGAATAAGAATGTACGGGATATAGATGGCAATAGAGTGTTCAACTGCGATGAAACTGCAGCTTTATTAAATCCATAAGGACTGAAAGTCATTGTCAAAAAAAGTTTGAAATCTGCTCATAACATTGTAATTGGTTCATTTGTTTATTAAAATCGCCCCAATTGTCAATAACAATAAAAGGAACTTACAGACACCGTACGAATACCTAGGTAGGCTCAAATCAAAGGTAATTACTTCTACTTTTGTAAAATAACATATTTTTATCATAGATTAATCTAAAAATATGAAAGTCTTACAAAGACCTACAACTTTTGTTCGAAATTTTTTTTCATACAATGAACGGTTTTCAATCTGTAGCCGAAACACTGATTTTCCTAATTCCAAAGGGCCTAATTGTTTAAATTCCAATCGACTCAACTGTGGCATTTGTTATTACTTCATTCCTACCATCGAAACCTACGTTCAAAACTAATTTGACTGGACTACAATCTATATCAACAGCTCGTGCGAGTCCTTACGCACCTGGCCATATCTGCCCTTGCCCACAGTGTGCTTGAAGAGCATATAGGTTTGCCAAAAATACCTTCAAATTCTATTGTAAGTGTTCGAAAAAATGTAAGCCACTGAATATAAAACCGTTTGATTGAAAATCCTAGCTGCTACTCTAGTGAAATGTTCTGTTAAACTGTATCAAACCATTATTGCCGTCATTTAATATTGCTTTTTTTGGGAGATTGTTCACTTGAAACATATTAAACTCTCTTAAATCCATATTCACAGTTGTACAGTTCTCAAGTGTCAAAAAAATCCTTTAATTTGGTTACTTTAAAAACATTCTAAGTCATAGAACCAAAGGTACAGCTATATGAAGATTCACGAATAATTTAAGTATTAAATGTGTGAACCGTTGATAAACTAGATTTATTACATGGATTTTTCATGAACCTTCATACAGCTGTATCTCCAATTCTGTGTGACTTATAATTTTTTGAAAGTGACCAAATTGAAGGTAATTTTCAGTACTTCAAAACTGTACAACTAAGAATATGGATTAAAGTGAATTTAATATTTTTCAAATGAACAAAACTAAAAACAACAACTTATCCTTTTTTTCTCGATTTCTTGTCAAACGTTCTTTTGCTATATCGTCAATTATTTAGCTTTGAAGAGCACGAAATAACCTTTGATTTGGTCATATTAAGATCATTTTATGACAAACCGGACCGAAGATATAGCGAAAGAACGTTTGACAAGAAATCGAGAAAAAAAGGATAAGTTGTTGTTTTTAGTTTTGTTCATTTGGGAAATATTAAAAAAACTTTAATCCATATTCTTACTTATACAGTTTTGAAGTGCTAAAAATTACCTTAAATTTGGTCACTTTAAAAACATTATAAGTCATATAGAACCGGAAATACAGCTGTATTAAGTTTCATGAAAAATCCACGTATCAAATCTAGTTCATCAACGGTTCACACATTTAATACTTAAATTATTCGTGAATCTTCATGTAGCTGTATATCCGGTTCTATATGACTTGGAATGTTTTTAAAGTAACCAAATTAAAGGTTGTTTTCTGCATTTTAAAGCTGTATAACTATGAATAAAGATTAAAGTGAGTTCACTATGTTTCAACTCAACAAACCCCCCAAAAAACACCAATATTAAATAACGGCAATAATGGTTTGATGCATTTCACTAGAGTAGCAGCTAGAATTTTCGTTCGAACGGTTTCATATTCAGTGTTTTACATACTTTCGAACATTACTACATAATTTGGAGGTATTTTTGGCAAACTTATAGGCTCTTTAAGCATACTGTGTGCCAGTGCCTTGCCCACATCAGTGGCAGAGGTCAATTGCACTGAGAGAAGCAAACGAAGACCCTGAGCTAGTGGCCGTTCTTGCGATCGCGCCTCTACCACTCCAGCCTACGACGTCACCTAACCTCACTCATCGGGCCGTCACTGCGTCACTGTCATCTGACGAGAGGAAAGTGTCAGATGCAATACCAACTATCCAAGGTCACGGTACCTCTGGTTTGGCTGCCTCAGTAGGAAGTATCAATGGCTAAGAAGACGGCCCAGAACGCGCCGCCACGACCAGCAAACTCTCTCGACGAATACGCCGCCGCTCATCCACGAAACCCTCAACTACCAAGGCTAGCCATCTCTCTCTGCCCGGCTCAACGCGTACACAAGCCAACAACCGAATCAAGATCACCTCGTAACTCTCGCTACTCGCCGTGAAGAAGGCTCTCAGCGAGAAGGGAAGCGGAGCTAAGAAGATTGCAAGAAAGACGCTTCTAGGCGACTACTAAAAACTATCGGTTTTTTTCAGGACCCACCTAAAGTTTTAAACGTAGTCTCTTTAAGACCCTTGGCTATCACAGCGTGAGTTCGTGGACGGTCACAACTTTAACGCACTCCAACCAACAGACTCTTTAGGCGTCCGTCCTTTTCAGGACTCCTCACCCGGCAAAGCCAACACAACATAACATTGTACAACAAGTTTTAAGAACTAGCCGCTAGGTCGTGAGCTTGCCAAAAGCTTGTCACGCATAAGCAAACTATAGCTGAAAATAGTTAAGAGTATAAGAGAATAAAGCTCCGGCATATTCCGGCTTGAACAGCAAACTTTTTTTTTTCATTAATCGATAAAACAAGTGATCTTTCAACGATACTAGAAAAGGGTTTGTTGCTCTACTATCTACCTACAGAACTATCTACAGAAGAAGATCTAAGATTACTATCTACAGAAAGTAGCGATCAAAAGAAACTTCTACAGATAGAGTAAGATATCTCACAGGCATGAACGAGATCATTCTTGCTGACTCCCGTTCACCTCTACCAATTACAACAACATCGAAGCCAGTCTCAGAAGCTGTCGCTGCGACATTGGACTCGTGATTTCACGTCACCTGCCAGACGCAGTCCTTCAAGTCAATGCTACCGAACAAAACTTTTTTCGTAATTGTTATCCCGCAATAACAATCTATAAATCTTTTCAATTTTCTATATTAATATAGGTGCACTTAAATAAAAAATGCAAAGAACAAAAAAGTCTTAAAATTTTTCAAAGAATCTGCGTATTTTTTTTTTTTTTTTTACTTTCTTCATAGAGAAAGCTATGTGATGGATTTGAATATGAGTTTTTGAACCAGACTTCGTAGGACAATTTGATTTACATATTTGTAAACTAGATTGAATTCCTAACACATGTTTGTGGGTGTTTGTGTGTGTGTGTGTGTGTGTTTTTTCTCACTCCACCCCTTTTGGACACTCACCGGTACTGCCGCTAGGCATTGCATCGGTGAGGCCAGGATTAGTTAAGCATTTCTGCTGCTTCGATGTTAGTCGTTTGCATACATCCCCTATCCGTTGGATAGTGATATGCGACAATTAGGGGTTCAGGGACTCATTTTTCTTCTTGGTGAACCTCCGTACCGTGCGCGATGCCGACTCTCGATTGTCGTATCCCACTTCTGGAGCCGTCTTCTGCGTGGTCACACATTGCTGGCGTCTCTTCCTCAGTTGAGTATTAGAACTCGCTGCCTAGTGCCATCTTGTGAGTGTGGTTTTCGCTTCTGTCACCGACCGGCAAGTGACCAGGTTGCCAGATCCGCTTCATCTTATGAATGTGGATCTTATGAGTGTAGTTCCCATTTCAGGCGCAATAATGCAACGAGCCTAGGCTGCCGCATCCAGCGCCCTCTTGTGAGTGTGGTTCTCGCTTCTGACTTCATCATGGGAGTGTTGTGCTCCATCTATTGCCAGCCTTGTGAGTCCTCGCCTTGGGCTCCTACTTATGGTTATCCTTCTCGCTTCCAGCTCGCACAGTGATCGGGGTTTTTTACCGCTTAGGAGGCTGATGACATAGCTCAAGTTTTCTTTTTTGAGTGTTACCCGCTCCACTTCGGGCCCAGGATCTACCACACCAGGCAAAAGAACGTGCCTCCAAAATTCGCCCCAAGGGGATCGAACGCACACCCTACGGCACATCTTTATATCAGCAGGCAAGAACTATACCCACTCAGCCTAGGAGGCTGATAGGGGGTACGTGTGTGTGTGTGTGTGCGTGCGTATGTAGAGCCAGACTTGGGCAGCCGAGGAGCACCAACGAGCGTGCCAACTGAAGTGAGTTGCAACAAATACAAATTGTGTCATAGGAAGTTGGCTGCATGAGACATGTTTAGGTAGCCGCCGAACGCGGTATCAAAATCATTAAAAAAATGATAATGAAAAATCATGAGAAAGAATTGTATAAAATCTATAAAAAAAATTTTAAAATGCAGGAAAATGCAAACCAAAACGGGCAACCACGTATTCCAGCTGGATTATATTTTTTTAAACAATTAAACTGCAAACCCAACAATTAATCCACGTAGCTCAGGGTGACTATTATTTTGATAATAGGCTGACTAAAATTTTGATTTCGCACTGAGACATAGCTGTTTCCGTGAGTTTTATTCGTATACTTTACGTATTAAAATGGCAGCGGTTTTTTTTTCGTTTGATAGCTTCTATTCTGAGATAGAAAATCGGAAAATTTGTTGATGAAGCAGACAATTCTTTCAAAAATGGGCCTTGAGGCCCAAGGGATAAAACTAAGTATGGGTAGCTTCATTATTATGTACTAGGAGATCCCAAAAAATTTTTCGGAAAAATTCGTCACCCAAAGTTGAAGTGGTCTCCTTCTTAGCACTACACGTACTTAATATAACGATGTAAATTTGTGTGAGTTACCTTTTTGAAGTTGAGAGTTTGTAAAACCATCAAACCTGATTTTGGACACGTCGAGTTTAATCGAGTGCACGCAATGGTGTCAATGTCTGCCCACTGATTAATTAGCAGAGCTTCATTACCATACCGAAACCAAGATAAGTATGAAAACCATTTAAAATAAAATGGTACGGACCTGTAACAAAAATTTCATTAAAAAAATTTATAATTGAATGCAATTACAATCAATCTGTTTACTTCATTGCCAAGTTGCATGAAACCTCACTGTCAATTTTTTGAACCTAAAAATTATTCCATAGTTCCGACTTTTTATGTAGTCATTCCATAGCAAGCTTATCAAAAACCAGAAAGTCTCAAAAATTTTCAAAAATTTTAATTTTTAAAAATTCTTATACAATTTTTATTGATATTTTATCTTTACGTTCATAACTTTAATTTGAGGTTAAAGTACAGAATACCCAAAAGTTATATTAAGTTAAAAGATTTTATACCATAAGTACATTAGTTTGGTGACCACCTGTACGATCTCTCGCCAATACGTCTATACTTAATTATTTATATGAAATAAGAAATAACTGCAGAGAAAAAGAAGTAAAAGAAATGATTGCAAATAGAAGAAAAGGAAGAGTACAAGTAACGTACTTATAGTGATAAATATTGAGTTCAGCTACCGATTACGTCAGACAAGCGAGTGTGACCTCGTAACGATTTAGAGATTAAATAAGACGTTACACATCAAGAAAGATCCTCGTGAGTATTAGCACGACATCGTACGACGATTGTAGCGTCGCGCCACTTGCGTACCCCCTCCCGCTTCCTCCCGTTCACGGCACTGCGCGTTGCTGCTGTGTGTCAGCCGAGCGTCGAGCCAGCCGCAGCACGACTGACTAGTCACTCTTGTTAACGCCACAGTACCTAACGAAACCAAACATAGCCGCTCGTGACAGTCCTCGCTTACACTTTTGTAACCCGCTCACTCCCAGTCATAGCAATAAATATTGTCTAGCTTAGCAGTACTTGTTGCCGATGTTCAATTTATTCTGCTACCTTCTTGCTTCCCTTTTCCTCATCGACTCTCGCAGCCATCGAATATAGCACAAGTTGACACGACGTATGAGACATCGCCCCCAGCTTCCATCAACGAGCCAGGCGGCGTCCAGTCATTCTCATAACGATGTTTAAGTCGAGGTGTATTATCGCGGGCCTTAGAGTTCAAACTTGCTGCTCCGGACGCTGCCTGCACCTGACTCCTCTGGACGATTTTAATACGAGGTGGGACCTCGGGGTGAGCGATCCCGGCCTCTGTTCAGAACGAGAGGAGTCCCGCAAGGCAGTCCTCTCCCTTTCCTGTTTTTGCTCTTTAATAATGATCTACCCTCAGCCTGCTGACATAGCATCTTTATGCCGACGACTTCAACATCTTCTCGAGCGGCCCGGCTTCGGAGGCTGAGTCCATTATTTCGAGAGTCAACGAAGACCTTGCGTGCATATCGGCCTGGACAAATGACAACAACTTATCTATCAATGTGAAGAAGACTCAGACCATGTAGGCTGTTTGAATTGGTAGCCGTAGATTCATGGCACACATGCGTTCTGCGCCGACCTCACCGTTGCTTCTTGATGGAAAGCCCATTAACCTGCGGGACAATATAGGGTGACTTGGTGTTTCGCCTGGATCGCTCGTCTGCATCGCCACCGTGAGTGTCTGCCACGGAAGACCAGACTGATGCTAGTGAGGTCACTGGTTTTCCCGCACCTTGATCATGGTGTTCGACTCTTGGCTGATCTGTCCAAGTAGCTCACTGCCAGGATGGAGAGAAGTATGAATGCGGTGCTACGATTCATCACCGGAGTATATAGATGTCATCACATCGCGCTGTTTTATGTTCCCCACGGGCTTTTCAAGTACAGGAGGCGCCGCGACTAATTCACCTTGTGTTTGCTGGCGTCAACTCTTTGGTGGGGAGGTCCCGCCTACCTGGCCTGATCTTGGCTGGAGCTGAAGATTCGATGGGCTGCCACCAGCAGCCTGCAGAATGCGTTTTTTGTGCATACCTCCAGGCTGTGGCTCTGTGTGCCACAGAGCTTGCAGGCTCGGTATCGCAGCGATAACTTCGGGACGTATTTTTTTGCCTACATGTTCGGATGACTTGTAAATAATTATAATTGTATACATTGTAATATACTGAGGCAGTCTACCAAGGGCCATTTTAAGAGTAACTACAGCTGAACCACTGTCACATACGTTACCCTTGCATTCCTTAAAACCACTTTTTGTACTCTACACTGGCATTGGAGGTTCGTCTCCAACATCATGCACCCGAAATCATGCGCATAGAGGCGGCTCAACATCGCGCAGCATCTGTATACTAACAAGGAGAGCCTTTCATCTGCGGGTCACAGATCCTTACAAAACTTGTTTGGGGGTCTTCTTGTACATAATAATGAAGCCCCTTATGGTTACTTTATTCCAATGGGCCCTGGAAACCATTATAAAGCACCATAAAGTATATATAATATAATATAATATAATATAATGTATAAAATACCACTTATTGGTATCAGGCCTTGTACGGTCAAGTCTAATTGTCTCAAAAATATTTGTACATGAACTTTTATGGATTCTAAACACTTTTTCAAACAATAAACAATTGAACTCAATTGGTTTGTTGTGTAAGTTTTAAAGAGCGCACCAATTTGAGCTAAAATTAACGTACCAAACAATAAATATTGATCTAAATTATATGAAAATGTTTTTTATTTGTATAACTCATATATCCCTTCTCTTCACCTATTCCTGACACTCACCTGGAGTGAATTTACGTATGTTTTGAGAGCCAGAAATAGGTGATAAAGAAAGAACAGTAAGTTTTATAAATGAAAACATTTTTACATGATTTAATATAAATATTAGTTGATACATTTTAGCTGGAATTGATTCGCTCTTTGAGAATTTCAGTAAACCAATTGAGTTAAATTGTTTATTGATTGAAAAGGTGCTTTGGACATTAAAAACTCAAAGTATAAATACTTCTCAATCAGTTAGACTTGACTGTGTAAACTTGATAATATTATACGCTAATATATAGTATTTTAAACATTATATTATATTATGTACTTTATGGTGCTTTATAGTAGTTTCCAGGGCCTATTGGAATAAAATAACCATCGGAGGCTTCATTATTATGTACAAGAAGATCCCTAAACAAGTTTGGTAAGGATCTGTGACCCGCAGATGAAAGGCTCTCCTTGTAAGTTTATCTTCAGGGTAAAGGAAAATCCAAGCAAGGAGCCAAGGAAACTCTCTATTCCAACGAGGAGGAGCAGATTTTTGCTGATCGGTGCAAGATATCGCCTGATTACCGATGTTTGTGCGAGTGTTCGTGACGGTGTATTCGAACCGGACTTGGTGGATCGATTAATTAATTTGAGCTGATACTGTATCATTGCATCTCTCATTACTCATAGGAATAGCTTATTCTTCCTCAACACATCTTTCTCTTCCCGTTAAAAATAATTTCACTCTATACATACCATAGCTTTCCATTTCCACGAATCTTCTCAATATTTCTTAACACCAGTCCATAATTCCTCCTTGCTTCCTTCTTATATCATCATAATCATCATGACCTCTTCAAACAATAGTACACCTGAGTGGGCGAATTTTTTCGTGGATCAAATTATCAAGCGCTTTGAGGATAGTTTCGAAAATAAGATAAAACCTCTTAGAGATTGTATTGATGCAGTTGTGACTGGAGGGCGTTGCAAAGGCCATGGGCAAACTGGATGAACGATTGACGAGACAGCAGAATGCCTTAAAGGTGAACGCTGAATCCATCTCAGCCATTAGACAAGAGCTTCTTCGTGTCACGTGAACAGTTCAAAACATCCAAACGGCTGATTGTTCTCTTGCTCCTCAACATCTTACAGACGACTGTGAGGTCTTGCTGTCAGGCTTTCCTCTTGAGTCGACCCTCACCGAATGCGCCATCCTCAATAAAACTCTCTCGAATATACGACTACCATAGCATACCCACTTCATAACGCGCACAAGGAGTTGGAACCCAAAAAATCAACGCAAAAAACCAAATAGTAGTCATACTCGTTCTCTGGTCTTTTAGTGCTCCTCAATGGTCGTAACCGATACAATCGTCTCTCACTCTTATAAGCTGTCGAATATTCGAGCCCAATCACTCTTCAATACGGATGGAGAAGGTAATCTCTCTCTACGGTCACTTTAACCAAAGCCAGTATATTTGCTGTACATCAAAGCACTTTCAGTATCTCAGAAATTAAAATATCCCAAACACAAGTAAGTACGCATACTCCTAAGACAAGACGAGGCAAGCCTAAGTCCTACCCGTGAACCGTCCGACCCAGTGTGTGTTGGAAGGTGCTGTGACAGTGCATCTGGGAATTAAGTATAGCGCTAAGGGATTCTCGTGTAAATCGCGTGGGTGTTTGCTACGCGTCTCGAATCATCGCTTTACCCCGTAAATAATTAATACTTATTAACACGCGTGTGCGTTTTCTTTTTCATATGTTGCAGGCAGCCGCGTAAACAAAGCCGTTGTTAATTTATGTCTATACAAACCGATATCTATTTCAATATTTAGTTCAATAAAAAATAATTATTTAAATATAAATAACTTGTCACCACTAACTTATTTAAACCAGACCTTTATTTCAGAGTTCGAGAGAATAAAATAAAACGATTATCTTCACATAGCAAAAAAGAACCTTGCAATACACCTAATTATTTGCATCATAACATTAAAATTTCGCTTATGCATTTGTCAACGAATATATGAAATTATTACGGCAGTGTAAGGCTGTACTCTCTTCTATGACGTCGCGTCAAACAAATAAAAAACAGTAAATAATTCACATGATTCTTCACTTGTCACTCAGATCGTCACAGAAGTTAAAATTTATTGAAATCAACAAAATAAAAAGTATAATAATGCATTTCAACGTGTCAGCCTCATCAGTCCTGCGTACCTTAGCAGCGAAACGTTGAAATGTATTATTATACTTTTTATTTTGTTGATTTCAATAAATTTTAACTTCTGTGACGGTCTGAGTGACAAGTGAAGAATTGTGTGAATTATTTACTGTTTCGGAATTTTTTATTAGTATTAATATTGTGCTCTACTTGCTGCCTACAATAATTTTTGCCACTTATGCCTCTCTTAGAAGTAATGATTTTATCTCTATTGGTGATATGTTAATGCTACTACGGGCATTTTTCTTGCAGTTTCTTGCACGCTAATTTCGCAAGGGTTAACTACAACAGGACCATGTGGTTTCCCTTGCATTGTTTAAAAACGCATCTTTATCATCCACTCCGTGTCATCAAGGTTAAATTACCACAACGTGCGTTGGAGGTCCTGCGCATGCGACTATCTCATCTTGCGCATCGCTTGCTCACGGCATAAAGTTCAGGGTGAAAGAAGAGCCAAATTTTTCATTACTGAGTGCCATTCGAGGTTAACTGTTCGTTACCCTTGAGCTTCCATCAACCCCTCAGCGGTATCGTTCAATACAATCCACGAAGACCTATTGCAAGTGCCTCAAAGTACGTCTTAGGGTGTTTTTTTTTCTTTCTTTCTACTCCACCCCATTCGGACACTCACCGGTATCCGCCGTTAGGCATTGCTTCGGTGAGGCCGGGGTTAGTTGAGCATTTCTGCTACTTCTGTTAGTCGTTGTTTTTCCATACATCCCCCATCCGTCGCATAGTGATATGCGATGATTAGGGGTTCAAGGATTCATCTTTTATTCTACTTTGGTGAACCTCCGATCCTGCGTGATGCCATTGTTGATTGTCGTATCCCCTTCTGTATAGCCGTCTACTGCGTGGTCACACATTGCTGGCATCTCCTCCTGAGTTGGAAATCTTTAGAACTCGCTGTCTAGTGCCATCTTGTGAGTGTGGTTCTCTCTTCTGAAACCAATGGCAAGCCCAACCCCTTGCTCTGTCGGCTACATGAGTGTGGTTCTCGCTTCCGGCGCTACGCTGTGAGTCTCTGTGAGTTTCAGATACTCCTCCTTTTCTGTTGTCGTCTTGTGAGTGTTGTTCTCGCTTCAGGCGCCATCATGCGGTCCGCAACGAGCCTAGGCTTCTGCAACCGGCGCCCTCTTGTGAGTGTGGTTCTCACTTCTGACTTCATCATGGGAGTGTTGTGCTCCATCTATTGCCAGCCTTGTGAGTCCTCGCCTCGGGCTCCTACTTATGGTTATCCTATCGCTTCCAGCTCGCACAGTGATCGGGGTTTTTTTCCGCTTCGGAGGCTGATGACATAGCCCGGGTCTTCTTTTTTGAGTGGTACCCGCTCCACCTCGGGCACGGGCTCGACCACACCAGGCGAAAAAACGAACCTCGAAAATTCGCCAAGTGGGGATCGAACCCACGCCCTACGGCAAACCTTGTATCAGCAGGCAAGTGACCCTCTGGGTTGAAAAATATGCTTCGGTGCCCGAGTTATTACTATTTAAAGAATGCACAAATTTTTTTGTGCTATTTCAATATGGCCAAATAACATACTAAATTTTGGGTCAGAACCGTTAACCCTCCCCACAAAACTCACTAAAAAGTAAAAAAAATGCTCAGATATATTTTTACATATTTGGGTTCAGTATAAAAGTGCGGTTAAATGGGAATTCCTGGCTAGGTGTGTTAATTGAGAATTAACAGATATTTATATTTATTTATAACTTCTTTGATTTAACATCGTTTTATTGTATTGATATTTGTTTATTATTAATTTAAATATTACCCATAAAAGAGTGAAATACCCCTCATACCAAACGCCGAAAATGGCAATTATACTAAGGTAGATTATGGTAATGCGTAGTATGGTAAGGAAAGGTACGCTGGAGGCACCGGCTAAGGCATAGCTGGTATGATTGGGACTTTCGAGGCATTAGTGCCTAATTGGAATATTTGACAAAGAAGTAGCTGTGTAGCACGTCACACTATGTACGTTCATTATACTGGTGATAGTGGTGGTAAATATGCTCAATTCACATTTGAGTGTAAGTGCGCATCGAAACTTGGTTCAAATATTCTCTAGGTTTGTTACAAGACTGATCAGTATCAAAACATCTATAGAACCTTTCATTTGATTCCAGCTAAAAGTCTCTCTGTTTTGCAGTTGAGTTACAACAATTTTAAAATTATTTAAAATGATACTTTCTCGCGAGTTCGACATTCAGCAATTTGCTTTATTACTTCTCGCAATAACTCCCTTGGACAATTAACTTGAAATGCCTCATATATATTGATCAAAGTTACTGATGATATTAAAAAAAAAACTTACGCAGCATTTAAAAAAAAACCTCCAAATAATAAAAATGGGATGATCACTGGTGGTCCGATTGAGAGAGCCATGGAAATGTTTTTGCTTGAGCACGATATTAAGTAACCTATAAGATGATATTTAAATAATTAACCATTTCAAATATAAAAATCAATTTATAATAAAATATCGGAGATCATAGAATTATTAAAATACGTTTTGCAAAAATATTAAAATTAAATCTATATCAATTGTATATAATTATAAAATGATAATTTAAAAATATCTTTAGTTGAGGGGTTTGTGGGTGTTCGGAAGATTCGGGTCCAGTCGAGTCGGGTTTTTTTATTTTGGTTCAAGACAACTTGAAACTCAAATTAGCCCAAAAAATCCAGGTTAGCTCCACGTTGGAGGCTTCCTTGAGATGGGGCTTACCCATGTAGTTTTCAGAATTCCTTGGACTATTTTGGGAATTTCGCATAAGCACTCGATTTTGTAAAATCCAAAAGGTAAAACACTGGCCTATTTAAGCATCCTGCCTATTTTTTGATAATAACAAAATTAATATCTATGTATTTTAGTTTCAGCTTTAACAGGTACTTTAATTGTTTATAATATTTAGTAGGAGTTTGCCATGCATAACATAGTGAATTGCACAGCCAATAGACCACCCTTCATGTCAAGACCGAGCAACAACGTTCGACTCCTCGAGATTGACAAAACAACGCAAGCAACGCATAAGAGGAATATCACAGTGAGCTTCCTATCAACTCACCGACTGAGTCTGAAAACTTAGGCGGACGTGACACTCGTGGGCTACGCATCCTCGTACTAGATATACATGATCCGTACCTTGACCATATCCATCCGTACCCGTACCACGATCGTAGATGGACGATCGATGCGAAAATCGACGTTGTAAAGTCATTATTTTTCAGAATCAAAAGTCCTGGCCGAGTGCTTCACGCTGCTTGACAATAACAAAGCCAAAATCGATGAAATAACTTTATTTAAAGTAAGAAGATATACAGAAAAGAGCTTGCTAATGCTGTCGATCGATGTGAAAACTCGAGAACTCATCGCCAGCGGTGATGTGGAGTTGTCGTCTAACCTCAGCAATGATCAAGCTGTAGCGCAACTTACTAAGTCAGCCCGAAAACGAGCAAAATACTAAACATTCAAAGAATATGAACTCTAGAAGCTCTAATCTGGAGATTTCTTTTGGCTCCGGTGATGATACAGACACTGCGTTCAAAATTTTTCTCTTGGTTCATCCGTAAAGAGGATTCTCTGCAATAACGTCGGATCTTCGTCTATTTAGTCAAACATCGCTTGACAGAAAGCAAGGCGAGATGAATAGTCCTTTGGTCTTAACTCTTACACTTTGCGGTAGTGGAACACATGGAGCCTTTTTCTTCCCAGCATTCTTTCAATAATGTTTTTTGCAGTCAGAGTCAAAAATATAAACCTCTGTGAGCTAAATAATTGAAATCTGCTTGCAATGAGTGGGTAGGATCGGCGGATAATTCGTCCGTGGCGGCAGCGAACCAGAAGAAAATACGTTACTACAGCTGTACTCGCACCGTAGCAAAACTACACAAAAACATGTACTGACGAGGCGCGCCACCGTGCACGTGTAGCGCGAACACACACTCACTTTGGCACAACGTATATTGCTATCGTAAGATAACAATAATGATTTGAATTACTCTTTGATTGAATTCGTAGCTCTGAAAAGAGCTGTTTGTTAGATGCAAAAAGAACGATCTAGAACTCTGGGTGTTCGGGATCGTAGTGCAGGTGATGGTTGGTAGACGGCACGACGACAACAGAGTGGACCGTTGGCTGTATCTCTTCTATGTCGTATTCCAAACTCGGCATAGAAAGAGATACGTGATGTCGACCAGTCCAAGGAGGGAGAGGTAAGTCCAAAACCTTTCTAATAGTATCCCTTAGTGGAGGCCGAGGATCTATTAGTTGGACCTGCTAACGTTCTTCCTCTCGTTTGCGTGCTCAGGATCGCCGTTGCTGATTACGGCGTCGTTCTCGCTGTGCAGGTACCTTAGGCATGAAAGTTTGACCGTCTGGTAGAAGTGGCTTCTGATCGCCGCTACCTTCTGTAGATCGTTCAAGCTCTCAGGTATCTCTTCTCTTTAGCCGTCTGTTTGAAAAGTAAGCAATGAACTAACTTCTAAGGTAGAGTGGCTAACCCGTTTCTCAATCAATGAAAATCAGGTATTTGAGTTCAACCTGGAACATGCTGGAGCTTTATTTCCTCCTCTACTTAACAATCTTTGGCTATAACTTATTTGTGGAACAACGTAAACAATGCACTCGCCCGCTAGCGGCAAAGCATATAAACAAACGTATGCTATTGACTATATAGTATAATAACAATATGTGCGTGTATGTATTTATGTACGAAGCAAAATCTCGAGAATAGGACGGCAAATCGTGTTGAATCAAATTGTATTTATTGTCGATTAAACAAATGATGAAACTGGAAGAGCTAGTCAAGTAATATTCATTGGGAAAACATTTTTTTACGATTTTTAATTTTTTTTTCAGGAAATTTTGATGAAAATTATTTTATCGATTTCTACTGTATGAATGAGATGATTTTCAAAATTTTTTCTGATTCGAGACCTAAAACATAGAGATTTGCCAAATATTATAAAAGTTACTGACTCAAAATAAAAAGTTGTACTTTTGCTTTTTGATAGAGGTAGGTATGTGCAACAATGCAAACCTCTTTTTATCATCTTCAATTGAAGATTCATAATTAATCATCAATAATAAAACTTGAGCTGGTCATACATTAAAAAGTTAATTTTTTTGTGAGGAAATTTTTTTTCTTATTACTCGCGTAACGTAATTTATAAAATTCTTGCGATTTCTCTTTGAACTTTTCATAACCTCTTATAAGAGACCATGCTGAAAGATGTAACGAAGTTACGTCGACCAGCGCAGGGCCCGACGGTGATCGTTCCTCAACCTCATCCTATAAAATTCCCTGATCGAGAGAGAGAGAGGCTGAAAATTAGTAGCCTAATTTAAGATCAGCGCTAGTGTTTTTGTTATGCGCACCGAATAAATGCAAATCATGTTCGGTGTTATGCCACACCGGGAGGAGATCAGCGAGCCCGCGCAAGCAAAATGTAGTGAACAGTAGACCAAATCGGCGAGCAACTGAGAGGGGATTTACGAGCAGTGAAAGAGAGCAGCACCGAATCACTCTGTTCTGGTACGTGTTACGCAACTGATCGATTGTCGATGGCCTAAAAGTTCATGCTCAACGTCGCTGTTCCTGGCTGCCTTGCTGGTCTGTCCTCGCTTATTTCGAGTCTACATCTGACCAAGCGTTCAACTATCTGCAAGACACCAATTGTGATCCGAAGCAGCGCTGTTTTCATCCAATATGGCGGCGTACGCTCGGCACTTAAGGTAGACTTTTATGGGAGACAAGTAATAAATAAATATTTAAATTAAATGAACAATTTTTTTAGGTATCTGATGTGGTCAAGATCATCCTTATTCAAGTATGTTCTTGTGAAAAAATTTTTGTTAAAAAACTTCTGTCCGTTCATTTGCAATTAAATAATTAAGGAGACTCTTTCATTAAAAATTGACGAACAAATTATATATGTTTAGATAGATAAAATCACGCTGAATCCAACGGTATAATTATTAATGTGGGTCACCCATCGAAATCTCGAGTAACCTTTTCTCAAAGTATGCAACTTTCAACATTGCTTTTATGGCATAACTACCGAGATTGTTAAAAAGTTAAATTTTTTTAGCCTATACATCGCGAAAAAATAACCCATGAAAAAACGAAGATTTCGTCGTCTGCTTGCGCAGGCAATGCACACACAGAAAGGGCGCGCGATTTGAAATGTTCCGACTTCGAAAGTTGCATACTTTGAGAATAAATAACTCGGATTTTGATGAGTTGCCCACAATAATAATTATACCGTTGGATTCAGCAATTCGAAAGCTATAAATTAAAAATAAAAAATTCCAAATTCAATTATTTATATCATGGTTTTTATTATATTATTAACAGTTGTTATATTTTTTTGTGATGATGTCACCTGCACTTTATTGTTAATACTCATAGATAATAATATTTTGATGCCATTATTTTTTTCTTTTTTATAAGCCTCTTTTAATACTTCTAAAGCGATACCTTCTTTAGCCATTTTATTTATAAATAGATTACTTATTTTATTTTTGAAGCATTCTAAGGAATTTTTATTTTTTGCCAACATATTTTGACTATTTTTTTTTCTTCTGCGCTACTAATACTTTCACAATTTTTTAAAATAATTTCATCACTAATACCCAAGGCCTCAACAAGCTTTTGAAGTAAAAGGATATCTTCAAAAGCATCATGCAACTTAGCAGTATTCTCATTGAGCAGATACTCTTTCACTAAAGCTTCTTCTGAAAATGATAGTTTTTGTTTTTTTCTTTCGGGTAACAATTTTTTGAAAATTCTCAACGTGTCAGAATAGCCATAAATAATTTGACGAAATCTATCGTACAATTTGAATTCACGGGCCAACTGTTCAATTTTTTTAGCATCAAATTTCACGTTGTGCCCTATTAAAATTATTTTTGTGTTTGCTGCATCTGGTGCTATGATGCCATTTGTGTATTCCAAAAAATATTCTAAAGCTTTTTTGCGAGAAACAGTTTGCAATTTATTATTGTATAAATACAGTTCACCTCTTTTCACATGTAAGCCAGATACGGCATACGCTGCGGGTTTTACAGGTACAGTAGGCACCGAGTAAACATTAAAGTTTTTTATTGCACAATGAGCAGCAATTTGGCATATCTGATTCGTATGGTGAAGACCTGTTGTTTTGACATCGAAATATACCAATTGGAACTTTTCAGGCTCCGATACTTTAAAATTTAATAAACTACTTGCTATGCAAGGTTGTATAGGAATATCAAGGGCACCACTCAGACCAATATTCGATTCGTACGTTATTCCTTCCTTCCTCTGAGATGAACTCATTTTCGAGGATCTTTTCGCCTTCAATATTTTCCTTTTCTTCTTTCCTTTTTGACTAGTTGCAAACAATTTTTTAAAAATTTTTTTATTTTCTAGATTTATCTTATATTGTAAAGATTTATTTTTTAAAGGACTGCCAACGAGTTCAAAAACTCTATTTTGATACGTTTGGCCATTGTTTGTTTAGCAAACAGCAGCTGAAACTCTGAAGTTGGAAGACTCGGAGTCCAATAAATGCTTAGATTTTCGGCATTTAGAAGCCACAGTATTACTAAAGGACTCGTTACACTGTGTTGAAGCTGCTGGGGCTAATTTATCGACATTATTGATGTCACGATCCATTAGCTTCTACAGCGTCGTTCGCAGTTGTAAGCTTTCTAAAGGCTTTTTGTTCGGTAATCGCTGGTGAAACTATAATCACCGAACGCATGAGGAACGAGAGACTGTAATTTTTCGCTCAAAGGATCAGGGTTACCCTTGCGCTCTTCTATAACTCCACTAAAATTATTGCAGAAATATTCTATAATACTTTTTGGTTTTGACAAATTCCACAAAGAGTTGGAAAAAGCGTTCACCGAGTGGTTTTTGTCGGCCCATAATTCAATGCTATGCTTTGACACTTTCCGCAAGGTCGCAATCGTACTGCAGTCGTTATCCATGACCAATCTCGCTCCAAATACTTTATTTTTTTCAAAAATTGAATTCTTGTTTAAGAGTTCTACTGTCATTCCTTTCGTCGAGCCCTCATAATTGACACGACAATCATGATCTGTCTTATCATGGCCTAACTGACACTTACGGCAATTTTTGGAGCGGGTAGCATATGAACAAATTTTTTTTGAATAATATCCCATAAGAGCTCCGTGTCCTAAATGATTTATGATTTCAAACGTAGTGATATTGGGACTAACGTTATCACTCGATTTTTCCAAATACCTGAGAGGCTGTTGTAAGACTGACCAGTTCCTTTTTTCCGCCATCCTGCGTCGAAGCTAAAAGTTAATCCAGACCACCCCGGGAGTTGGCTGTGAAAGGCAGGAAAATGAAGATTATTTGATAACGTGTCATGTTCATAAGTATCTTTTTTTATTACTTTTTTTTTAATCATACAAGACTTTTGTTGTACGAAGCAAAAAATTAAACATTTCATTGTAGTTTTAGTAATAGATGTATAATAAAGTATACAATTTTATAATCAAGTAATAATGTGTAACTCTAAATAATTATGGTCAATTTTTTCATCGACCATGATTAAAAATAATAATGTACAATTTTTGATAAATAAATAATTAATGTAAAATGAATATTATCACAGCAGGAGATGTATAGAGTCTCAAAAAAAATGTACAAAAATAATAGATCTGAATTATAACATGATTAAAAAAAATTCATAAAAATAAATTCATAAAAATAAAAGGAGAATTTAGATACATCTTCTGTGGCACATGGTGATACACTTTTGAGCAATGAATAATGCTGCTTACTTGTCAAACACAATGTCATTAGCATTCATCGCTAAAGACTTTTCTTTCTCTACGCTTTGACTGCAAGACTCAATAGCTACTTGCTCAATACATTTTCTAACTTGTCCTTCATTATGCTTGAGCAGAGCTGATGAAACCGGTTCAATATTCATTGATGTTAATAATATGTTCATCTGGGTTTCACCTATGCCAGCATCTAAAATTCCTGCTGCAGCTTTAGCGTTGATTGTATGTAGACTAGTATTATCATCAAATACTTGTTTTACTGATGCACATTTACAGTACTTGATTGAATAAATATTACTCAATCCTCTTTGCAGTCTCTGTATTGTCTGATCCAAAGAAAGTGGAATTTTACAAAAATTACACCAAATCTGTTTGTCTCCCTTCTAGGTAGTAAATCGTTGACTACTTTTTTAACAGTACTCTATAAATTGAATATAAATATTTTATAATTTTCACTCCCATACGAAAATTCTCATAGATGTGAAACATGCAGAGGTTACCTATTTCAATTTTGCCTTGACTCTATTCCTTTCGCGTTGTGCAATACTGGATTTTTTTATAAATCGTCCCTTATTACCGGTCTTTCATTTTTCATCGTATAATTTTTTCATGTTTATAACTTTTGAAAACAATCACTGACAAATCAAACATAAACACTTGTATATGAACCCGCGCTGTACGATGCTGCCGTCAGCTGTGCGCGTAAACAAAGATACTGCTAATGCTACACTGCTCACAACTTACTGTTGCGCAGGGCGCGCTGCGCATCGCGTACAGCACCACGCAGTAGCTTACCTCACGCTCATTGCAGGAAAGCTTGCAGTGAAAGAGCTTCCTTAAGTCATTTTGACCCTATATATGACGTTAATGCGGCTGCTACAGCTCTCTTTAACCTCACTTTAGACAGGTGCAGCAGCCCAATTAACGTCAGATGTAAGGTCAAAATGACTTAATTATTTAATTGCAGGTGAACAGACAGAAGTTTTTTAACAAAAATCTTTTCACAAGAACATATTTGAATAAGGATGATCTTGACCACATCAGATACCTAAACAAATTGTTCATTTAATTTAAATATTTATTTATTACTTGACTCCCATAAGAGCCTACGTTAAGTACCGAGCGTACGCCGCCATCTTGGATGAAAACGAGTGCTGCTTCGGTATAAAAGTCAAAAATACCGACAGAGCGTGAGCAAGTGACGATAAACGCTAGTTTAAATATTAAAATTTAATTTTCATGTTTTTTATATTACAGTATTTAACACTGATTTAAATGAACTTTATGCAATAGTACGACGAAAAATGTCTTTTTTCGCACATTTTTTAGTGCGCAAAAAGCGTTTTTGGACACTTGTGTGCGGTAAAATGCCTCATTTTGGACACGGGTGTGCGGTAAAACGCCTCATTTAAATGAACGTATTTTTCGCCTAGTATTGCATAAAATTTTGTATGCAACACGTGCCCAGCTTTTTGCGCATAGTGTGCGGAAAAAACACCCACTCGTGCCGGCATGGCCGGCACTCGTGTCTTTTACCGCACACTCGTGCCCAAAAACGCCTTTTGGGCACTTGTTACATAAATAACTATAATTTTATTTACAGTGGTATGGATTCGATTTTTTTCAATTAAATAATAGTATATTTCTCAACGGGTGCACATATGGTTTTTTAGCAAAACGAGGGATTATAGCACGAGCCGAAGGCGAGTGCTGTAACGAGTTTTGTTAAAAAACCATATCTGCACCAGTTTGAGATACTATTTTTTCCTACGAGAGCCTAAAATTAGCGGCAAAGTTGCGTATTTTAGGTTAGAGTGGGAAAATAGTTATTTATGCAACAAGTGCCCAAAAGGCGTTCTTGGGCACGAGTGTGCGAAAAAGGACACGAGCGCGCAAAAAGCTGGGTACGTGTTGCATACAAAATTGTATGCAATAGTAAGCGAAAAATACTCGAATTTATACCAAGCATTTTACCACACACCAGTGTCCAAAAACGCTTTTGGCGCACTAAAAAATGTGCGAAAAAAGGCATTTTTCGTCATACTATTGCATAAACGAATTTTCTATACTTAATATAAACATTTTAATAATTATGAACATAATTATAATAATTACCAAATGAAGTAGAAACATTAGCTACTAAAGCAACGATTCCGACTGTTGTAAAAAAATGCTGAACTTCTGGGTAAAGCCCAATCATAAAATATGACACTGAAGTAAAAATGATTGGTACAGCAAGAAATATTGGTACTTCTGCCATTGTTTTGCTTAAAAAATAAACATCTGTACGATACATTCCGTTCTTATTTTCTCTCAAAAATACTGGCAGTTCAGAACAAAAGACCTATAAAAAATGAGTGCATTATATTGTTTAAATTTTTATTGATAATTATTTAAATTCCTTATATCTCTCATCTTATATACATATGGCCGATTCTGTATCAACTCAACCGGTCAAAATTTTTTTTCTACACCTAATATGATGAACACATTGTTTAAGATGTCAGGAATGTACAAAAAAATTAAAAAACGATTCGAGTCTTCTATCATCCTTTTTCAGAATTCCAAAGTTGTCATTTTTCGCATTTTTCCGTAATTTATTGAATATCGCAAATATTTGATTAAGCTCTAGCTCAGTGTAGAATGACTCAAACGAAAAAGTGCATGCGAGCTTTTTTTGTTGAAAATATACAAAAAACATTAAATCTAATCAAGTATTATCCAGACTTTCCTTTCAAAAACTATTTCAGGGGAGCCATACACCAATTCACTCCTCTTTGTCATTTTTTTTTTATATAAGCCACAGTTTAATGTCAATCTACATTTTCAACATAAAATTGACATCTTTGAGCCCTACAAATGTGAAAAAAATTGCATAATAGGCCTTTGCGTCTAAAAATAGCTCATTTTTGCTATTTTAGCCTTTCGGCACTGTGCGCAAGGTTCAGATCAGAGTTTTCGAGGTGGGAGTTCCTGATAGGTCTCAAAATCTTCAGAAAAGTATCCTTTATGAGCTGAGTTTTGTGGAATTTTGATTTAAACCTTCATATCAGTTCTATTATTCAATATGAGCTCAAAAACATTGATAACTTTTTTTATATCTTTCTTTTTTCACATCTGTTGGCATACAAACTTTTTATAACTCTAATCAAAATTTTGCTAAACTCAGCCCATAAAGGATACTTTTCTGAAGATTTTGAGACAGGAACTCCTACCTCAAAAGCTCTGATCTGAACCTTGCGCACAGTGCCGAAAGGCTAAAATAGCAAAAATGAGCTATTTTTAGATGCAAAGGCCTATTCTGCAATTTTTTTCACATTTTGTAGGGTTCAAAGGTGTCAATTTTATGTTGAAAATGTAGATTGACATGAAACTGTGGTTTATATTATAAAAAAAAATGACAAATAGGAGTGAATTGGTGTATGACTCCCCTTAAGAAGCTTTTTAACATGTCAACTACGTCCTTGTAAATTTTTATAATGGTTTGCGCATTATTACGCCCTGGAGACTCTAGTATGTGTCAAAAACCGTGCAAAAAAAGCCCTTAAAGCAGAATACAGCCTTAGATAACATATATACACAACATATATGAGCAATTCTCAAAAGTGGTATTTTCATTATTTTAACCTTTTTATTTCGCGTAATTTCCTAGGGTATACGCATTCCTTTTTCAGGTTTTTTACCATTATTTTTTATTTAACCTTTTAATGACCTTCAAATAAAACCAAGGAGATGTTTATAGTAAAATTGTTTGCTCTTTTCGAATCAGCATTAAAAAATCGGGGTTTCCACTAGAAAATTGATTCTTGGGTCGCTGGAGCTTGAGGGTTATGTTCAAGGTCAAATCCAAGGTCACCATTGGATTCCTTGTCAAAAAATACGTTGGATATGGGGTTTTGGATTCCTTGTCAAAAAATACGTTGGATATGGGGTTTTTGAATTTTACATTAAGCTTTGTTTCGAAGATTTGCAAAGGTTTTTATGCTTTCGTCAAGTCATTTTTACGAAAATCGTGTTATCCGACCTCAGAATGTATATGGCCGATTCTCTGTGAAATCGAATGGCCAAAAAAAATTTTTTTCTGCAAATATGAAAAACTTGCTGTTCCCGATGTCAGAAATGTCCCCAAATTTTATTAGAATTTTTGGGACCATCTATCACTCTTTTTCAGGGGCCCGAAGTTGGCCATTTTAGGGTTTTTTTGAAATTCATGAAAAATCACAAATATTAAAATAATTCCTGGATTAAAGTAGAATGATTCAAAAGTAAAAGTGCCCAGCAACTTTTTTGTTGGAAATTGTCCAAATTTTCAGAAAAAAAATATGCCAAAGTGATTGGAACAATCTAGGTAAGTGTAAAGCAAAAAAACTGCCAAAGGGACATAAATGATGAAATCTAATCGAGTTCGAACCGGACTTTCATTTCCTAAACTATGTAAAAAGCTTCCCAAAGATGTCAACTACTGCCTGATAAAGTTTTGTAATGGGTCTTAAAGTTTAACGCAATGTAGACAACAATGTGTGGCGAAAAACATGCAAAAAAGGTCAAAAATAGGCCCAAAATGCCTAAAATCACCAAAAACAGCCATTTTCAGGCCTTTTTTGCATGTTTTTCGCCACACATTGTTGTCTACATTGCGTTAAACTTTAAGACCCATTACAAAACTTTATCAGGCATTAGTTGACATCTTTGGGAAGCTTTTTACATAGTTTAGGAAATGAAAGTCCGGTTCGAACTCGAGTAGATTTCTTGTTTTATGTTTTTTTTTTATGTTTTCCCACTATGCTCTCTTTGGGTGGCTCCAATCACTTTGGCATATTTTTTTTCTGAAAATTTGGACAATTTCCAACAAAAAAGTTGCTGGGCACTTTTACTTTTGAATCATTCTACTTTAATCCAGGAATTATTTTAATATTTGTGATTTTTCATGAATTTCAAAAAAACCCTAAAATGGCCAACTTCGGGCCCCTGAAAAAGAGTGATAGATGGTCCCAAAAATTCTAATAAAATTTGGGGACATTTCTGACATCGGGAACAGCAAGTTTTTCATATTTGCAGAAAAAAATTTTTTTTGGCCATTCGATTTCACAGAGAATCGGCCATATAGAAAAATTACCTATCAAAAAAATTCATGTTATCGTATTTTTTCTTGTTTCTTATACCCTAATAGATACTTTTCACACCGCATGGGGCGTGTAGCATCTATAAAAAAATACTGGCTTTTTGGACCCCGAAAATTTAAAAGGTGGTTAGTCTCAAGGTAGGACGACAGTTGGTCATGAAGGAGACGTTCACAGAGCTTCGAGACCTCACACAATTTTGCAATAGGTCTGGTTTGCGAGATGTCGGTGATGGTACGTTGCTTTGCCAAAGGCAGCACAAATGTTCGCAGCCATACCGAGGGAAAGATTCCAGTATCGACAGAGCGATTTATAATGTCGAGTAGAGGCTGTAATATAACCAGCATAGCCATTTTAATCATCTTGACAGAGATGTTATCCGGACCAATTGCCTTTCAGTGTGCGCCATTGATGGCTGCCGTTAGTTCGTTCAAGCCAAATATAGGCTCATTCTCATCAATCCCAATCGACAATACGCACAGCACATCCTCACCCGTGAGCGCCGCTGAAGCTGAAGCGATTCCAGCAAAGTGTTGGTTTAAAGCTAAGGGTGAAAAGTGCTCAAGTGGGGAGGGAAGTGCCGATGAAGCGATACCAAGCCGACGAAATTCTGCCTACTTCAGTCGAGAATTCTGTGCGTTCTCAACACGCTCTGAGATGTACTCACGCTTAGCTTGGTCGAGTCTAGTCTTGACCTCATTTCTGAGCCTCTTGAAGGCACTCACATCTTCTCTTCCCCTCGAACCCTTCGCTCGACGATACGCTCTGTCGCGCTCGCGCATCAGGTCTCGAATATCGATTGAGACCCACGGTATGTGATGAGTCCGAACAGATGACACATGACAAGGTGCAACGGCGTCAAAAGCCCTTATCACGCCGTCAGAGAAAGAGGCTGCTCCAGAGTCAATCGGATCGCGTTTGATTCAGGGGTCAACGTTGGCATTGTTAAGAGAGTCTCTCAGTGCCCGATGAAGAAAGTCCACGTCGACCGATTCCAGGTGACGTGGAGTGATAGTCCGAAAAGGGTTAGGAGGCTTAGAAAGTTCATACTTGAGCGCAATGAGATCGTGTCCCGCAAATAATGGCGAATTTGTCTTGGTGTAGTGTGAGTAGCTGTCAGAATCGTTAACGAGAAAGAGATCAATCCATGTATGCACCATTCGGTTTTCCAGGAACGTGTGGTTCGTAGCTTCAGAGGGCACGATGTAGAGTGAGTTTGCGCTCGCGTTCAAACTAAAAGAGCGAGAGGCAGTGTTGTTTGTCAGGAGATTTGTATTAAAGTCGCCAATAGCTATGATATTTGTGTATTTGTAAGTAAATGCAGAGAAAACGTCGAAAAACTATCTACTTGAGTACAATGAGGTCTGGCATAGACTACAGCAAATAAAAGTTTTTCTTTTGAAATCTTGAGCTCTAATATGAGGTATTCGGGTGTGTTGATATAGCGCGGATCCGATTACAACAGCTTCGTGACTAGTATGCTGCTACGAACGTATACAGCGACACCTCCTCCTTCCCTCCCCGCCCTGTCGTTTCGGTAAATGTTGTAACCATCAATGCTTAAGACCGAGTCAGGGTCGTCTGTTGTGCGAAACGTCTCTGTAAGTGCGAAGATATCATAAGAGTAATTGATAAGACGATGTTCGACCACAGTGAAATGCTCAGCAGAAAGACGATTTACATTTACATGAGCGACATGTAGTTGTTCATGGCTTGAGCAGCTGTTGGCAAGGGGGGTGGCTCTCAAGAGTGGTGTATGGCGTCATTGGTTGAGTTTTTGAGTTTGGTTTTTATTTTGACTCTGGTTTTGACCTTGTTTTTGGTTTTGTTGTTGATTTTGTTTCTGGCTCAGAGTCTGGTTTTTGGCGATGAAAAGTTCAAGCTCATTAACCGTAGCTATCGGTACGAGCGGAGACTGTATGGTCTTGCGCATGTGCATGATGAGATTTCAGAGAGAGAGAGAGAGATAGATAGATAGATTCTTTATTGGACTTAGGGCGAACCCTGTGTGCACTTTTGAAATACAATTGTCTTAAAAAATATTTACAAATTTTAGCAACATTTTAGATATAAAAATTGGAATGTCGATGTACAATAATAGAATTAATAATTGAAAGACATTTCATTGTCATAACAAGACTTATATTAAACTTAAGTTTTGCGTTGAAAATAATGATTGAATGCTGATGAAAAGATGTTGGCATGAATATATTGCAGTGAAGAG